CGTGTGTCTCCTCTCCTGTTCCTGCTTCCCATGGGGGGGATCCTTGCTTTCCTCAGCTGGCACCCGGTGGCCTTCGTGAACTTACACATAAGTGACCATCACGTCAGACCTGCTTTAGAGCTGGGTGTGTCATTTTGCCTGCAGAGTATGTAAACTTCTTTTTTTTTCAGGGTTAAATAACCCACTGCCATCAAGTCGATTCTGACTCATAGCGACCCCCACTGGGTTTCCAAGGCTGTAAATCTTTATGGAAGTAGGCTGCCTCATCATCCTCCCACAGAGCCTCTGGTGGGTTTGAACCGCTGACCTTCTGGTTAGCAGCCAAATGTCTTACCCACTATACCCAGAGAGGAAGTATTTGTTAAATGAATGAATATATACATTGTAGCAATATTTGAAACTAGTATTAGTGAAATGAGGCCAGAGAGGCTTAGAAAATGTTTTATTTTCGCTGGTTGACAACCACTCAGTTGACTGTAACTGTCATATTGCATCCTAAGATAAGACAGATACTTATCAGCAAGGAGGCAACAGAAGAATTTCATTTTTTATCTGTTAAGCTTCGATGGAAAAGAAAGCAAACCAAACCAGTTTTAAGTTTAAGAAACAGACACTGCTGGTGCTCATGATACCAACACATTTTTTAAAAATCTTCAGACCTACCTGTGAGGTAAGTAGTGGATCCCCTTCTCACAGGTGAGGGAGTGGAGGCTCTGAGATGACCTGAAATGAGCAAGACTCAGTGGGAGGCATGGGCAGGATTAGAATCCAGATCTTCAAAGCCCATGGTTAAAAAACTCTTTAAAAACTTTTCTTAAAATTTTTTTCTATTATAAAAATAATACCTGCCTATTAGGGGAAATTTGGAAAAGTAGAAAGGAAGAAAGTGAACTCATGACCTGACTCCCAGTGACGGCCACATCGACATCCAGTGCACTCAGGAATTCTGACCTGTGACAGTCACAAGGGTTCACATAAAACCCCTCCAGCTTCTCAGACAACTGTGAGCAAGGGGCAGCAGGGCCTGTGCTCTGCAGGGTGACATCCGCTAGTGCCGAGCGGCTGTCCCTGGACAGGTGCCCCTCTGCCTGTCTCCGTCCCACCGCTCCTCTCACACCTGAGCGGCATCTGCTTCACTCACAGATTGCACCCACCTGGCCCCTGAAGGCAGCTGAGTTCACGTCTCCTGTTGGACTTGGGTGTGAGGGATGCAAGAGTCTCCACTAAAGCAATCATTCAATCCACGCTGGAGGGGGCAGCAGGGGCTCGCAGGCAAACGGCCTGTGCTCCTCAGTAAGGGCCCCTGAAGGTGGATCTGATAGCCCAGCCGACCCAGGGACTGCCGACAGCAGGGCTATGGCTGATGTGGTGAAAGTGGCTGGCTGTTTGCCATTTAGGCCAGAATGTGGGGACAGGGGACAACTGGCTTTGCTGAACCTCTGTCAAGTACCAAGCGAAACATTCTGGCTTTGCCCATTCAGTTTCTCGAACCATCATCACCAGGAAACTGACCAAACGTCCAACAACAACAAAAAAAGGAGCAAAGGAAGGGTGGCATTCAAGGCTGTGGCATAAAACCACTGTGGGCAGAAGCGCTTGAACTGGGAAGACAGCAGGTGTCAGGTATGAGGATGTAAAGAAACAGTGACTTGGGATGGTGCTGTTAGCTGTCGTCAGTTCCAACTCCTGGCCTCCCCAGGCGTGAAGAGCAGAGCTGTTCCGTAGGGTTTTCAAGGTGGTGACCGTTTGGAAGGTCACCAGGCCTTCCTTCCGAGGCATTTCTGCTGGGTTTGGACGGCCAGCCTTTCGGCGTGTAGCCAGCACTTACCCGTGTGTCCACCCGGGGCTCCTCGAGGATAATCCACTCGTGTTCAGTGCCACTCATGCTGAGTACATCCCAGGGATGGAGACACACCATCTCCCACCCTGATCTTTAACGTGGATGTGAGATCAACTCCTCAAAAAGAACTGCAGAGGGGACATCAAGCTTAATGCTTAATTGGCATAACATACTATACAAAACATTGTTCCACCTACTACTTTGGTGAGTAGCGACTGGGACCTTAAAAGCTAGGAAGCTGCCATCTAGATGCAACAACGGGTCTCTCCTCGTCGAGAAGAAAGAAGAAAACCAAAATTAATGGAAACAATCAGTCCTAGCGACTGGTACACCAGCCGATCTGCAACCTATACAACTATGAGACCAGAAGAACTAGATGGTGCTCGGCTACCACTGCCATCCACTTGGAAGGGATGTAGGAGATCCTGCATAAAGAGGGAGAACAATGTGGTACAAAACTCAAAATCATTTGGAGGCAAAAAAAAAAAAAAAAGAAGAAGGTGGGGACCAGGTTTGCTGGTCCAATAGAGCCTGGTGTAACCACTGAGACTATGGCCCCTAGCTGCCCTTCAGGTCTGGAATTGAACCCACACACCTGTGGTTTCCAGCCAAACAAAGTACAGGCATGTGAGTTAAACATTTACCTCAAGTAGACACACGCCCTGGAGAGAACAATCATGGGAGAAGGAAGGGCTGCTTATGCACAGGGAGATAGCTCAGGGTGCAGAAGAGTATGAAGGGATGGACACTGGGAGGAGGTAACTATGGGGAGGAAGTGGGAGGGGAGCTGCTGCATTGTAAATTTTGGTCAATGACATGAGACAATGTATATGTGAACTGCTGTATGAAAAGTGAATTTACTCTGTAAATCTTCACCCAAATCCTAATTTAAAAAAAAAAAAAAAAAAAGAACTGTAGAGTAGAGGTTCTCAAACCACATTTCAAACGTTTCCAGAACGTCATGACAGGTAGTCCCTGACTCATGACGTGTTAGAGTTACAACAGACTGCACTTACGGCCATACAGCTTAGCGTCAGTCATGTCTGGAGCGTGTAATCTGTTGGTGTTCACTCTCGGCTGTTCAGTGTTACGCTTCACAGTTCAAAACACTGTCGGACTTATAAAGACACTGATAGTAAAAGGCAGTAATAATGAAAACTAAAAAGAAAAAAAATCAGAACTGGTCTATGATGGAGTTGTTGGAATCCTGTCGGAAGTCGGGGACTACCTTGGTGTAAGCCCAATTCGGTGGAGCTGCTCTGGGGGTTCAGGGTGGGGCAGGAGGCTCCCTCCCGGAGCTACAGGGAACACAGGTTGAAAACCGCTCATCTTGGGTATAATTAAGAAGAGCTCCCCCAAGAAATAGCTCCCTTTGCTAAGAGGCCAGGTGCTCCTAGACAGAGGAACAGCTCCGCTTCCTGTTGCCACATTTGTAACTGTTTATTGAATGAGGCACAGACAGTGGAGAACAACACAGAACCCAGGCTTTGCCTGCGGGGCTTGGGGCCGCTGCTCGGCAGCTCGGTCAGTTGGAGGCTATTTCCCCACAAAGGAACAGGACTTTAAAGCCCTTGGGGAGCTTATGATGATAAAAAATAATGGAAAAATAACAAACTGCAGACCGAGGGCTGTTCATATGTAAATTCCCCTCCCCCCTTATGTACAGAAAAAAAAACATACAAAGAACATTGGATAGTTTTATATAAAACAAGCAAATACAAGAATCTGAAACTTTCTCAAAGGCTGAGCAAGACATGAAGACTCTTTTAATGTCGCATTAAAAACCACATTAAATACACTGTCACGCCGTCAGAGGGCCTGGGAGGGGAGCAGAGGCCCTGCCTGTCGGAGAAGCCAGCCACTGGAGACTCGGGGCTTGCAGCAGAGAAATTAGATTTAGATTTCATTTAAAAAGCTGCCCACAGCAGTCAGCCCCTGGGACGAGGAGAGCTGGCAGGGCTGGGGCCCCCCAGGATGTGTCTGGCAGTGGGCCTCCAAGTCTGCAGCAGGGCTGACCCGGGGGTGTGGGGGCACTCAGTCCTGGTCTCTTCCAACACAACAGCATAGCAATGCCACCAGGCCCATGCTGCGGAGAGCCGTCTGGTCCGCTATAGAAAGCGACAGGCAAGGACAGATCTGCTCCTGTCGGTGCCGCCTGATCTACGGGGATCCCTCTGCCCTCCTTCAGGCCCCTCCTGGCCTCCGCCCCACTCTCGCACCCTCACACACGCCCACAAGCACACTCCGACTCACACACTACTCTTAATACTTCTGTCACCTTCAGTTCATATACAACCAATTCAGTACTGACCGCAAAACCAGAGCAACATTTCAACAGTCGTGACACCAAGAAGGTTTCCTGAGAACAGGAAGAGATGGGAGGCTGAGGAAACCCTCTTGTTCCTGCCTGGGGGCTTCAAGGACAAGGTCAGCACCTGGGCCAGCCCGAGGAGCGTCTGAGCTGCCACCGCACGGCCCCTGGACCCTGCATGCGCGTTTTCTGGACGCCATCCTGTTCTGGAACCTCTGTCCTCGGATGGGCCCAGTAGGGAGAGTTGTAGGAGGCCACTGGGAGGCAGCTTTGGTGAAGGGCATGGTCACCTCCATCTGAGTCTGTCAGTAGCTCAACGCATGACCCTGGTATGAGCTAGAGCCGGGTGGCTGTGGCTGGCCACGTACCCTACCACCCACTAAACTGGGTGGATTATTCTTCCCACAGCTCACCTTGATTTCAGAGAGTTCCTTGTGGGTTTCATATATCTATATCTATATAGATATATATATATATATATATATATACTTATTTATATATATGTAAATGTGTATGTCCGTATGTACACATATACATATATTCACACTCACACATACACACACAGAAGTATACACACACGTTTCTGCAGAAAGAAGTCCCGCCACAATCTGGCTTTTCGGTACCGTGGAGTCAAGAACACAGCATCTCACTCCACTAATCTCAGAATGTCAAGAGTGGTGCTTAAAAAAATGCAATTCCAAAATCCATGTCTTTCTTCCTTTTTAAAAAAAAGGTTAACAAAACTTTTCTTCCAAAGTCGAGAGACTTAATTCCATTTGATTGCACCTCTGCAGACGTGTAGAAAATTTTTAAGTCGACTAGAAAACAGTGCCGGGATGTGGCTGCATGTCACTGTTCCAATGTCACTACTTCCACGGCCTGGCCATCCATGGTGACTGCGCTGTCCGATATTCTGGTGGTCACAGGGGCCATGGCCACCTGCACAGGCCCGTTGCCCTGGGCGAGGCTGGTCACCACGGTCTGGTACATGCTGACAGGGATCTGGACCAGTCCTGGGGAGACAAAGGGGGACCGTTAGCGGGTTGTGCTCAGGGCCTCGATGCTCCAGCCATCTGGGGGACCAGGGCCTGCCGGCCGCAGGGCATCATACACTGACTGTATTTGAAACAGAACTTTAGGAAAGGTTTAGAGAAACTGTGCAACCGCCCTCAGAGCAGGGCCCCCCCCAGCCCCCAAGAGGTGACCCTGCCTGCCTTGACTCGAGGGGGCACAGGTCCGAGGGTTGACTTCCCCCTCCCCCAAGCCCTGCCCTTGGACTGCCTTTGCCCTCTTGGGCAGACCCCATGATCCTGATCGTCTGCCCACTGCCCTCCTCAGCTGCCTGTTGACTATGTGCATCTCTCAGCTTGAAAAGAAACCTGTCCCTCGCCTCAGTCCTGGTCCGGCCTCTGCCACTGCCCCATCTGTGTCCCTCTCTTCAGAGTCAAGCTTGTTACAAGAGGTCACTGGTGGTCTGATGTTTACAATTCCCAGAGTTGTCAAATTTTAAAATACATTTTTGGATGAACTGTATTTTTGTAAAAAAAAGACTCCCACCACCTTCCAGTATCACCTTATTTGACAGCAAGAAGAAGGGTGGTTTAATACCAATAACAGGAGAAGCGTGAACTCTGAGAAGAGGGCAGGCCTCAAGGAGAGGAAAGTTGATAACGTTTGTGACAACGTAGTTGACGGACATATGGGGCAGAACACGTGTGCACATCTCTGCTTCTTCTCCTGAAACTAAAATGATCGTAAACAGGAGAACAGGGTATCAGTGAGGGCTGTCGGCATGGTTTCAGGGATGTGAAGCCACATGAAGTGTTTCTGCCTTAGCAGAGGGGCAGAAGCTGTGGGTCCTGTGCCCAGAGAGGGTGCCCAGAGAGGAGTGAACTGGCTCAGCTCAGAGGCTTGCGGGCTTGTGACCTGGAGGCCCAATTGTGGCAGAAAGGGGGTGAAGCTGAAAGAGGAATTGGTTGAAAGTATGTACTCAACTGATCAGGCCAGTAGGTACCCCAACACTCAAGACACCCAGACCTGTATTCACATGATGTCTGAGCTTCATTCCCTGTGCTGAGAAACTCGCCTGGAGAGGCTCAAAGAGAAGACCCACAGATGGTGACGTCTGGCAGAGAGGGGGACCCTGAAGCCGATGGATGAACCAGCTCTGCGCCCCCACCCCCACTCCACCCCCAATTTGTATCCAGAGCCTCACTTGTGAGGAACAAAGAGGTGGCAGAGAAAACGTGGGAGCAGAAGAAAATGAAAACAAAGTGCCACCCAAACTCCCAATTCTTTAAAGATACAAGAGAAGATATAATCTCCCACATAAGAGTGGGAGGTTTCTAGAAAGGAAAATCTTAAAAGACAGCTCTTTAAAATAAAAAATCTAATGAGATGGTTTAAAATACAACTGTTGGCTTCTACTCGTCTGGAACAGAAGAGAAAAAAGAAAGCCAAAGACTTCAGAAAGAGACTAGTCTACAGGCTAACAGTCTACACGGATCGTGGCCTCATTTATCTTGAGACTGGAAGAACTAGATGGTGCCTGGCTACCACTAGCAGCCATTCTTACTAGGGATAGGAGGATCCTGATAGAGCAGGAGAAGGATGTGGAACAGAACCTCAAATTCTTAAAAAACCTGGAATCACTGAAACATTTGAGACTGGAGGACTCCCCGAGACTATTACCCAGAGACACTCTTTAAACTTCGAACCCACACAAGCCCCTGAGGAACCTTTTAGTGAAGGAACAGATTGGTTCAGAAAATAAAGCATCTTACCTATAAGTACTGTGCCCTTTAAAAGATCATCTGTGTGACCAAATGATCAACAGTGACTTGAACACAAAGATGAGAAGGTTAAGGGGACAGGAAAACTAGATTAATGGAGGCAGAACAAGCAGGTCAGAAATAATGACATTGGTCACGCATTGCGAAGAATGTGAAACTAAACTGCTGTGTAAACTTGCACCAAAAACACACAAAAAATAGGATTAAAAAAATCTAATACGTGAAATAAATTCAGAAGAAGGATCAGAAGATAAAATCAGGAAGTCTTCCAGTGAGTAGAAAAGATTAAAATTTGGAGAGTAAGAGAGAAAATAAGAGATTTAGGAATAATCCAAGCTGTCCAAGCTCTGACAGAAGAGAATTCCCGGGAAAACACAGAAGGTAGGAAATTATCAGACATATCCAAGTAAATTTCCAGAACTTAAAGACTTAAGTTTCAGATTGAAAAGACCCATCTGATGTCCGATACAGCAGAAGAAAAAAGACCCAAAACTAAGGCAAGTCTTTGCAAAATTTAGGAACATCAGCGAGAAAATGTCTTTAACCTAGAAGTCTGTCCTCAGTCCCATGAAATGGTGCCCGTATCAGTGAAGTGTGGGGCCGAATAAAGACGACTTGACGTGTAGAGGCTCAGAATATTGGCCACCCCCACATCCTTTTTCTCAGGAAACACTGAAGGATGCACTCCACCAAAATGAAGGAAAGAAACGAGGAGGTGTGGGATCCAGGGGACAGGGAGTCCAGGGCACAGAATGGCGACGGGGCTCTGGGATGAATCGAGGGGCCGGGAGGACAGAAGGTTCTAGGGGAAACTAAGCCCCGAGGAGCTGATGCCTTGACCTTGTGGGAGAGAGTAGCAAGGGGCGGGGTGTCCCAGAGCTGTCACAGAGTCTGGGTCGAACCAGTGATTACTGCTTAGAAAATAGAAGGAAAAAAGGGGGGGGGGGCAGAAGCAAGTACTAACTTGAAGAGAAAATAAAAGTTGTACAAAAAGAGCAACGTAATCATCCTAATTACAGAGCACTCCTCTTGGCAGTGAACAAGGTTTGCCTGGCTATAACAATATAAACAGAGGCCAAGTTCACAAAGAATGGTGGTGATGTCTCAACTCCAGAAATAATGACATAAGACTGTTAAGCAGAGGAGTGAAGACACGTATCAGAAAACAAGAGCAGCATGTGGTCTCCGGAGGTTCTCGGTTCTTCTTCGTGACATTTAAAATCCTATCTTAATTTTGGTGAAAATAAAACTTTTTTTCTATTTTTTTAAAATGCATTTTATTGAAACATAACTTATGTACAGTGAAATACACAAAACTAAAGTGACATGAGTCAATGCATTTTTTTTTTTTTTGCAGTGTTCCCTCCCCTCCCCTAAAACTTATTTTTTAAAAAGGAAATTAGAACATCTTCTACAGCAAAAATAAAACCAAACATAAGATAAAATGCTATTTTACATGTTAGATTAAATGAAATCGTTTTCTAGGGGGACGTTTTGCTACTTTCAGTATTTGATGATACAATGTGAAATAGAGTCATTTTGCAAATGCAGGCTCACAGGGTGCGTGTTAGGAGACGAGAGGCCTGGCAGGCAGGAGCGGAGGCCGGCTCCACACGGCAAGAACACGGGCTGGGAGGGGCCGCCTGGAAGGCCAGGCTTTGATGTCCTGGCTGAGGGTCACAAATTCTTTCATCTAGATGTTTGCAAATGGCTCTTCTATGTCTAATCAGTTCTCTTTCTGCTACCTGAATTATCTTTTCATAACATGTCTCCCCTAATCTCAAACTCTCAAATTCCAAGATGTTGAAAGCTTCCCAAAGCCTGTGATAAGGTCCATCTGCTTTAGCATGGCGTTCACGGCCTTGTGAGCCACCCCCGCCCCCGCCCTGTGCTCTGGGCGGCCCCCGGGCTATACTTGTTGCCCCAGCATGTCGCTCACACACTCTCTCTGGGCTGTAGACCCTCTGATCCCCACTCCTTCCCCCAGGAACCCCGGATCAGCAGTCCTTCCTCTTCTAAGCAGCCCTGCTCCACACCAGTCCCGGTCAGCACACAAGCATGGCCGCCTCTAGGTGCCAGGGAGCCGCTCTCCAGGCACTGTTTGGGGCCATTCAGTGCACGTACACAGGTCTGCCCCTGCGGCTGAGGACTCCTTCAAGGCCAGGCCTGGTTCTGGCTCAGGCTGTGCCCCCCACGGTACGAGCACGCGGCCTGCACCAACCCCACTCCAAGGGCAACAGACCAAGAGAGCGGTGGCTGGCCCCCACAGTGTGCAGCCAGGCCTGCTCCCCAGCCTCTAGATCCAGGCATGGGAATGAGTGATCCCCACCCGTCCCCAGGGTGTCACTACCACTGTCCTTTTCCTATTCTCTTTCCTGGTCCAAACAGGCCACCTTAACCAAGTACCCCAGAATGTCTAGTGGCAAAGCCACAGCCCTGTGAAACCCTTCAAAGACCGCACGTGTCAGTAAATGACAACCTAAGGTCAGGCACATGTCAGCGTCCCTGCCTCTGGGCTCTACTCAATTCAAATGTTCCAACTCAGGGAGCAAGTCAGAGAGTTTAGAACCGCAGGACTCTGAGCAGGGAGACTGGCCCTGACCGTGAGCCGCTGCCCTGGGTGGGGCTGGGGTCGGGGAGCAGCTCACGGAGCTGCCAGGGTGAAATCTCTCACTCTGCTCTAGCATGATGTGCCCGGGCTTCCTGGGATGGGGGTCCGTGCCCAGCATTGTGACAACTCTGCTTGTCGATCATGGAAGAGTCAGCCCTGGATAAAGTGGACAAAGGTTCAGACGCAAAGCTGCGCTGGCTGACAGGCCATAACCAGGATGACCTTTGCTCTTACAGAACAGTCTTGCTGCTGTCCTTTACAATTCTTCAGTGCTTTCCAGCGGCCATGGGGTAGAAAGTCCAGGCCCCTCGGCAGCTGTGCAAACCTTTCCTGTCAGCCCGGCTATCCCGGTAGGCCTCACGGTCCAAGCCCCACTCACTTCCCCTCCAGCCAGGTGAACCGTTTCCTTGAGGTTCTGTAAACAGAGCATCAGTCTCCCGCCTGTGGGTGCCTGGTCTTCCCCCCCGTGGTCAGCACAAGCCTCTCCCTTGCTCTGTCCTGTGGTCCACAGCATGCTACACACGCCTCCATGGACCAGTGACCTCACTATCGCTGTTGGCACATCGTATCTCCAAGGAGACTGGCAACTCCTTAAGGGAGGGGCTGAGTC